GTTCGCAGTTTTTCATGAACTGGAGCGCTTATACTGCCATTAAACGCATGATCATAAAGCTGATGATCGTAAAATGCGATATTTTCAATTTCACTTAGATCCTTGATTGGTGTATAATATATTTTTTTATTCTTTTCAATATGTGAATAATGATTCATTAGGAAAAATTTTAGTTCTTTATTATTTCATAAAAATGAAAATAAACAACCCATTGCATTTTATTTATTCTTAAATTCAGTACGATTAATTATCCAAAAAAAGGCACGTTGGAATGTAGGACAGGTTATAAGCATATATGGAGGTCGTTAAATTGATTACTAACGAATTTGTAAATTAAAAATCACGTGATATATATAAATTACTACCTGGCTTTAGACGATCCCCATATGAGGAGGCAATTTAATCAATTAATCTAGCCTGTCACACATTTCGGTCTTGCCAAAAAAAGCATCATAAAAATGATAGCATTACTCCACGTTTCTAATTAGTTGGAAAACCAAAATTCCAGTAACGCTTGTTATTTTTCGGTCATTTTTTTTTTTTTACTGATTACAGCTGTTCTCATAAATTCTGATACAAACTTAAAATTTTGTTCGTTTTCCGAAATCTCATTGGTTTGTCTTAAAGGTCACCTAACTTTTCGGAATTACTTCGCTATCTCGAAACTGAGTTCCGAAGACAATGACGTGATTTCCGAAGAGTTAGGTGATATTTAGGACGAAACTGAAGAGATTTCAAGAAACGAGCAAATTTTTGCTTTGTTCCAGAATTTATGAGAACAGCTGTAAAGTAGCGTGATCTCCCACTATGGAATATTCCAGTAGATCTCCAGCTATTTTGAGGGTCCTAAAATGACCAGAGATTTCCGTTGCTTCAAGAAAGAAACGGTAATAACCAAAAGTTTTTGTCTTTAGAGCATGTAGTTTCATTAACAGTCGATCGAGATGCAACTTAAATTATAATTTTAATTTCATAAACCAACGAGTTTACAAAGCCTTGTCAAAATATAAACTATAGTCAACCCAGTTTTAAAAATAAGTATAAACCATTGAAAATAGTTTAACTCAATAAAACCTAATTTATGATTAATATAATAACATACCGCTACTCTAATGATATTGGTTGTATCGGTTAATTATCCGAATCGACAATTGATTGGTTAAGTTTATGAACACATGGGATTTTTGCTAGGAAAATCACCCTGGATTTTCCGATCGGGCTAATTCAGAAAAGTTTAGACCAGAATGTCGGTTCTTACTCATATGTAATACGTCTTTTTACTTTACTGATTCGACGGTTTATTTAATAAACTATCGAATAAATAAAACAGGTGATTTACATATGAATAAGAACTGGCATTCTGGTCTAAGCCTTTCCGAATTAGCCCGAACGGAAAACCCCGAAGGGTGATTTTCCTAGCAAAGATCCCACACTACTAATTCGTTGCAGCTAATTAATTTAATTGGTTAAAAATTTCTTTCATAAGTAGGTAATCATTCAACTATTTGCTGCTTCAAAAAAGGTTTAATACGTATAAATCGATTAGTTGCCAATTCGACCAGCTTTTCTATTAATAGATTTCGTATCACTAGTCTCGAAAACAATTTATAATGAATATAATGCATGTTATTTTTTTTATATTTATTACTGTATTAAAGGCAAATATCAGATACGAAAGTATTTTCGGTTAATTATTGTGTTTATCGGTGTTTACATTAATAAACGAATCATTATGCGTAGTTTAAATCGAATCTTATTTGTTGGTAGATCAATAATACTATATATATATAGGTTTATAATATTTTATCGTTATAATGTATGATAATCTTTCCTAACCTTGAGTTAACTAACCAGACCAAATTAGTACTTTACAACCGATATTGTAAAAATTGCTTTCAAATAAATTTAATTTATACGAGTTATGTATGTGTAGTCCAACCTTTCAGATATTATTAATCTCATGAATGTCATAGATAATGTATAATGTAATAAACATAAAATGTTACATGCCATTATTAATAACAACTTTGGAAAGATCGAATTTTAAAACTTTTTGAGCATAAATCACTGGTTATGCAGGGTAACCTCCCTTATTTTTTGTGGAATAATAAAATTCATGGATTTTATAAGATATAAACTTATATTTATTTATATTAATTATAATGCTAGGAGAATACTATGGTCTAATTTTAAGAGAATACTTGAAACGAAACGAAAGAGTATTTATACATTAAGGTCATTAATGCGATTCTGCCCTACTCTACACGGTCCTTTCTCTCTTTTACTGAGATTTTTCATTATTTGCAACCTTTACCTTGCCATTTTCGATTCGTGTCCCCTTCCATATATGCAGTTATCGCCACGATTTGAACTGTTTTTGCCAGATCCGCACGGGTTCCGTTACAAACCATAAAATTTTAAGTTTAGTAATTCTCTAACTAGCGTTTAACAAGATCTAAATCAGAATTAAACCCTGTAATCTAGAATAACTAACAGAGAATAATGAAAGGTAGTACATAAAAGGAAATTTTTACAGATGATAAAAGCTATCACTGTTACATTAATATGTTTGTAAAACTTTTAACCTTCTTTGTAAAAGAAGACTCTTAATGACTTTCTCCTGATGATCTAGATATTTATTTAAATCATCTACAGGGGGTACTACGGGCTACCGAACATTCTATATCAGTGTTGTTGACTGGAAGCTGGAACCTCACTGGACGTCCAGATATTTCCAGTGTTTCAGTGGTTCCAGTGAAGTTTTCACTGGAAGAGATTATTTCACTGGAACCGATATAATACTAGCCAATAGATTACGAATAAGAATAAGGTTATTATAAACACGTGATATGCCTGAAATCCAATCAGTTATAAGAATACTTTTCATTTTACGATTACATGTGCCTCGAAAATAGAGAATTCTACTGGTAAAGCAAATACCCGTTATTT